TTGGTGAGAAGGCTGAAACGTCCTTGGCCTGAACATTATGGGGCAGGGGTTGCCCCAGCCGTGGGCTCAGACCCTGTGCATCCCCATAGACTCCCACTCTTGATTGCCATTTGGCTTTGGACAAGTTGGGTGGGCTCTGGTTTGTCCCAGAGGAGGACACAGGTGGCCTAGGGAGAGAAGCAGACTGCATGTGGCCACTGAACCTGCACTGAATTGGGGGCCGGAGATCCCTGTTCTGAGACAGGTCTGAGGAACGCTTCGTCTACATAGAAACTCACATCACTGCCAGCCCCCGCGAGCCTCCTGTGGTAGCTCCTGCTTGTCTTCCAGGAATTCACTGTGATGGAGGAGGCAGCGGGCGGTGTGTGCCAGGCAGCAGGGCGAGGGGAGGAAGGCTGCTGAGCCAGCCCCAGAGAGCGATGCCATTGTGCCCGCTGGGGCCCCAGGCCAGCCCAAACCACAGGCTCTGTCCCGTTTCTCAGAAAGATTGCCATTTCCCTGAGCACAGGGTTCGTGGGGGATGGGAACAGGTGACTTCACAGCTGTCCCGGGAGAAGAGAGAGGAAGCATCTCCACTGAACCTGGGGGTCAGGCCTGGTATCATGATAGGATGACCGAGTTTTGGGGTCACGGAGCTACCTGGGAGGGTTGCATGGAACAGAGACCCTGAACTCAGGTCAGCTGCACCTGCCCCAGCCCGGGGCCTGGCCCCCTGCAGTGCTCTGGGGCTACAAGTGTGCTGAATCATAGGATCGGTTGGAATCAAACTCCTCCATTTGCTATTTTTAAATGTTGATTTATTTTCATCTCCTTGAAAGGTAGAGCAACAGAGAGAGAAAGAGATTGATTTTCCATCTGCTAGTCCATTCCTCAAATGCCTACAACAGTCAGAGCTGGGCCAGGCTGAAGCCAGGAGTCCAGAACTCCATCAGGGTCCCCACACGGGTGGCAGGGGCCCAAGTACTTGAGCCATCATCTACTCCCTCCCAGATGCATTAGCAGGAAGCTGGAACAGAAGCAGTGTAGGCAGAACTCAAACCAGGCCCTCTGATATGGGATGCGGGCTCGCTAAGCAGTGCTTTAACCTGCTGTGCCCTAGTGCATCTTGGCTGGCCCCACCCTCCCTGGGCCTCAGGGGCCTCACCTCTATGATGTGGTTGATACTCCATGCCTCGCTCGTCCCAGCAATCAGGTGAATCGGTGGCTTTGAATATGCTTTGTTAACGAACAACAGCCAGGCTTGTGGGAAGGGATGCCTACCCCATCCCGAGCCCATGCTGTGGCCAACCTGGCCACCAGGCAGGACGGTGGCTCCCATGGGACTCCCTGCTGGAGTTGGAGGAGCACGGGGAGGAGCGGAGTTGGCAGCTCTGGGACACCCATGGCCCAGCTCCTCCCTCACATTCACCGGGAGACGAGCCAGGGCGACACAGCAAGTTAGTGGCCAGGAAGAGTGGAATTTAACTCGAACCCACACCTTAGCTTCCTCCAGCCCCACTCCTGTCCCTTCCCTGAGTAGCTTCTTGTTACTGAACCTTGCCTCAGTCGCGCTCATCCCCAAACTCCCCATCTTCCACCCCTGCCTCATTTTGCCAATTTTTTAAAAAGACTTATTTATTTGAAAGGCAGAGTTAGAGGCAGAGAGAGAGGGAGGGAGAGAGGTCTTCCATCCACTGGTTCACTCCCCACATGACCTCAATGGCCAGAGCTGCGCTGATCTGAAGCCAGGAGCCAGGAACTTCTGGGTCTCCCACGTGGGTGCAGGGGCCCAAGCACTTGGGCCATCTTCCACTGCTTTCCCAGGCCATAGCAGAGAGACGGATCAGAAGTGGAGCAGCCAGGTCTCTAACCGGCGCCCCCATGGAATGCCGGCACTGCAGGTGGTGGCTTTACCTGCTATGCCACAGTGCTGGCCCCCCAAATTTCTTTTTCTTTTTCTTTTTTTTTTTTTTTTGACAGGCAGAGTGGACAGTGAGAGAGAGAGACAGAGAGAAAGGTCTTCCTTTGCTGTTGGTTCACTCTCCAATGGCCGCCGCGGCCGGTGCGCTGCGGCCGGCGCACCACGCTGATCCGATGGCAGGAGCCAGGAGCCAGGTGCTTTTCCTGGTCTCCCATGGGGTGCAGGGCCCAAGCACCTGGGCCATCCTCCACTGCACTCCCTGGCAGAGCTGGCCTGGAAGAGGGGCAACCGGGACAGAATCCGGCGCCCCAACCGGGACTAGAACCTGGTGTGCCGGCGCCGCTAGGCGGAGGATTAGCCTAGTGAGCCGCGGCGCCAGCTGGCCCACCAAATTTCTTAAAACACCACCTCAGTCCCTTAAAATCCAGCTTCTGCCTCACAGCTGCCCTGCTGTGGGCACCAGAACCCTGCCTGTCCCCGTGGGAGACCCTTTGCAGGCCTCACGTCCTGGACCCCTCACTGCCATGCTCGCCTGCGTTCTCTCACCTCCACGGCTATTTCTCTACTGGTGCTCAGAGTTCTGTGCTGGTCGCCTGTTTCTTTCTCTCTTTTAACGATACTCATTTATTTGAAAGGCAGAGTTACAGAGAGAGAGAGATCTTCCATCCACTGGTTCGCTCCCCAAATGGTCTCAACAGCTGAGGTCAAGAGCCAGGAGCTTCATATTGGTCTCCCACATGGGTGGAGGGGCCCAGGACCTAGGCCCCATCTGTTTCTCTTCACTCTACAGTCTCTCCTAGGCCAGTGATCCCTCCCCCCTGCTGGCTTTAGCCACCACCTAGGAGCCAGCAGCTCCCACCTCCCCATCTGTGGCCCAGCCTCCTCTCCAAATCCTCACGTCCCCAAGGGCTGCAGGTGTCTCCTGAGACACCTGCCAGGTATACTCTGTGGGAGCTTCCAGTGTCTCCTCCCAGGAGGTGTCTCTGAGTGAGAGCCCCAGCACACACGTGGCCCCTCCCTCTCCTTCAACCCCACATTCAGGCTGCCGGGCACTCTGCCTTCCCTGGGTCCCTCTCCCACTTGGGCTTCGTCACCCCTTCCGGGGCCTCCCATGGCAGCTTCCCCCTGGTCTGAGCCTGGCTCTGCCACGACGCTCACTCATTCCTGCTGTGAGCAGGCAGGGCCAGCTTTCTAATCCACAAACCTGACCAAAGCATCGGCCTCCCGCACGGCCTCTGCGTGCAGGTGCAGCCTCTCCTCCCTCTGCTCTTGGCCTCAACCTGCTACGCAGCAGCAGGGAGCTCTTTGTGATTCTCAGTGTGCCTTCACCGGGCACCTCTGTCTCCCTCCCCCAGCTCATCCTGCAGAGCCAGCGCTAGTGCCGTCTGTCTAGGCTAGGGGCTGCGTTCCCTGTGGCCCCTGCCATCACCACCCTCAGCTCTCAGGTGCAGCCATGCCTCTGTCTCCTTCACCTCCTCTTGGGGACTTGGGCTCTCTAGGGACAGGAAGGGCAGCTCCGGTCCTTACACCAAGTCAGCAGCCCGGCAGTGCGCACACCCCAGGATGGTGGGGCTGACCTGGTGAGCCTTGCAATTACACACTCAGAAAGGTCTAGAGCAAACAGAGGAGGGGCTGATGTGCTGGGCGTGTCCCCATCCCCCCTGCCAGGGGGGAAAAGGTTGGGGGTGACTTCACAGTGTGCCAGAGAAGCCAGAAGGGCAGGGTGTGCAGGGAAGTCCCCTCCTGTACTGAGCCCTCCCTCAGCAGGTGGTGGGGGATTTCCGGGAAGGCATCCCCGGGAGAGAGGCGTCCGTCTGAGCAAGACTGCATGACCAGAGCTCGCCATATGAATGGCAGAACCTTCATCTTGCTGTGCGTTAAATGCTTTCAACCTGGGGTGCTCAGAACCACCCCTGGCTGGTTGCTAGTTACCCCCGTCCCTGCCGCCGCCGCCATGTGACAAACAAGCCAGGCCCAATGTGAGTCTTCTTTAGGACGGACAGGGCGGGGCCATGAGGGAGGGGGCCGTGGTCTTATGCCTCGTGTGGTGGGAGGGTCCACCCATGCTCCTGGTACCCCAGGTGAGATCTCAAACCAGGCCCCCAGAGCTGGCAGAGGGAGCTTGGGGAGGGCAACAGCGTCCCACTCAGGAGGTGGGCAGGGTGGGGCTGCCAAGCTGACTCTAGGGACCCCAGTAACCCTAGGGTCAAGGGCAAGGCTTTAGAAGCAACACAAGCACAGCCATGTCTCTGGGGCTTCCTGCAGGCCCAGGGGCGGGGCGGGTAGAGGGAGCCCCGCGGGGTGTCGGGGGCCTAGGCTGCACCTGCTTCACCTCTTCCCCAGCGCCTCTGTGGGCTCCTCCCCAAACTCACGTAAGTCCCCCACCGTTCACCGTTAAGTGAAACCACAGGCCCTGGAACAGCTTTGAAACAGCAAGGGCGTGCACCTGGGCGCAGGATGAGTTATCACTGCCACTGTCCCTAACCGAGACTGGCGGAGCTTCCCCTCTGACCACAGTGCCAGGCTGGCACGGGGACCACAGAGTCTCTGGAATCTGGAGGTGAGGCTACTCGGGCTCCTAAGATTCGCCACCGTGTGGAATCGGCGGAGAACCGCAGGCCTGGAGCAAGAGCGAGGCCTGACTTCCGGTCCGATCTGCTACCAAGCAGCTCTGTGGCCGCAGGCAAGTGCCTACTTCCCGCTCCTCCTCGTGCAGGGCGGCTGACAAGGACGAGAGTCTCTGGAATATTTGTGGGTGAAGCACTTTGAGGCTGCCTCTCCTGGCTAGGGAGAATCAGTCCTCTTGGGCTTAGTGCCTCCGAGCTGGGGCGGGGCTGCCCTAAGAGCAGGAGGCACCAGGGTCGGGGGCCTGAGGCAGATACAGTACAGGGCAGGGGATGGCAGCACGTTGGCACCCAAGGGACTGCGTGGGGAGGCTGCGGGAACCAGCCCTGGCTCCAGTGCCGAATCACCGCGAGAACTGAGGCCAGGCTCTGCCCCTCTGGGTCTCAGTTTTGCCCCCTGTAAAATGGGAATAACCAGACCTGCCATGCAACTTGCCAGGAGAGCACACAGAACACTGGATATGAATCTAGCAAGGTAGGGTTAAGGGTATTGCAACTTCTTATTTATTAATATATAATAACAAAAATGATAAAGCTCGTATCTGCAGCTCTCTAGGTCTTTGTTATAAAGTCTTCGTCGCTTTGTCTGGACTGGCCGTGACCTTCAGCTCTGGGGTCTGGGCTAGGAAGATGTTCCAGTGGCCTGCATGGAAGAAGGCAGAAGAGAAGGGGCAGTGAGCGCGCGCGCATGCGCAGCAGGCGGTGACTGCCGGCCGGAAGTGCTCAGGGTGGGAAGAAGTGTGAGGGCTGCAATGTGGAGCCCACGGGGAGCCCAGAGGAACGCGGCCCCCTGGTACAGTGCTGGCACATGACCCGGTCCTCTGACAACTCGTGCTGGGGACTGGGCCGGCCTCCTGACACCTGTTGGCCATTCTCCCATCTGTGTCTCCCCCGACCCCCACCCCAAAGCCTCCCCTGGGCCCACCTTCCAGAGTGGCGCAGGGCAAATTGAGGGCGGCAGGAGGACCATGTTAGGAGGGCTTCTACGACAAACGCTGCAGTAGACAGAGCGTTGGCAGCACTGTTTCGGAGACTTGGACCCCCCTCCTATAGCCACGCCCCCCACCCCCACCCTGGAGACCAAATCCAGGCAGCTCTGCTTCAGCTTCCAGCTCCTGAACCGAGTTGGGAAATCTCTGGCCCAGACGCCCACTGGATTCCTGTTCTGGGAACTGACGTCTGTGGCCCACGGCCGCTCTCCTCCCCCCCCCCCCCCCCCGCCTCCTGCCCAGCAGCTGGGAGCTCCCCGCCCCAGGCCCTGCTGCCCTCAGCCCCAGGGCCCACCTTCGTGGGTGCCGCTGAGCAGCCGGAAGTTCTGTGCCTCCTTCTGGAAGTCTTGCTTCCTGACTCTCTTGATCTGAATCAAGTGGAAGATCCCTGCGGGCAGAGACAAGCAGCAGGGTGGGCTCCACACAGGGCTGCCCAGCCACCTCTTCCCTGCCTCGGTTCGCGGCTGACCCCAAATCCTGTCGGTCTCTCCCTTCTGTCCTGCCACCCAGTGCCCCCTCTCCTCACCAGAGCCCCCGTTGTCCAGCCTCCCTTTCACTCACCCTGATCCAGCCACACTGCCCTGTCGGTCCCCGCCCAGGCCCCCTGTGGCCCTCTGTGACCCTGCTTCTATCACCAGCATTGTCTGCACCTGCGCTCGCCCTGCTCACCTGCCGCAGCACAGGGAGGGAGGGGCGGTGGGAAATGGAGCAGGCAGAGAGGAAAGGAGGAGGGGAGGAAGGAGGCCATCTGACTGCTCAAGCTTTTCTCTGGGCGTGGAGCATCTGATACAAACCAACAGGCGAGCTGCTTCAGACCCCAGAGACCAGCGAGTGTCAGAGCACAGAGCTCAGCCCGTGCCCCTGCCCCTGCCCGGGCCAGGAGGCCGAGCCTTCACAGACACCTTCTACCACTGCCTTCCACTCCTGATGCTCTAGGTGCATTCCTACTCCTCCAGCCCACAGCTGGGACATCTTCCCTGGGGACCCACAGCTTCTGTCTGTGGTGGCACCTATTTCTCACGTGCCATCATTGGAACTATTCCTGCCACCCTCACCAGACTGAGAACCCCTGGAGGCCTCCCCTGTCTCGGCCCCCTAAGCCCGGCCCATAAAAGGCACGGAGAATCAATGAATTCCTGGATGAATGGACAATGGGACAAATAATATGTGGACCCGGGCTAGGCCAGGCCAAGGGGGAGCGAGATGCTAGCTGGACCCTCTGATGTTTGCATCTCCTGGGGAGCTGGCCACTGGCACCACACGTGGCACAGAGGCCCTTAGCACATAGTAGTACAGCCGTACATAGTACAGCCGTACCAGCTGTTACCCACCAAGGTCCCCGGCCAGAAAGAACAGATGCAGCCAGCAAGGCCTCTGCTGGACAGGCCCTGCCTTCAAGAAAACTCAGAACTGGCCCTGGGAGTCAGAATGGGACCCCACAGAGGGAACAAACAACTCTGGTCCTGGACTGAGTTCCAGGAACCAGGGAAGGTCCAGTTGGGACCTCAAGGACCAGGACGTGGAAGAAACTCAGGCCAGTGACCCAGGGCTACATCACCGTGGCAGGCCTGAGGCACATGATGACATGGGGATGGGGCTTTCTGAACAGGCCTGCACCTCCCCGGGACACAAATACCGGGGAGCAGGTGACGGGTGAGGGTGCATCCTCACGCTGTCCTCTGTAAGGTGTGGTTGAAAGGACTGGGCCCCACGGCCCACAGTCAGGAGCTACTCTGAGCATCATGGCTGTGCCCCCTGCCCTCTGAAGGGCTGTGCCAGGGCTGGGGGCAGCTGGCCCTGTGCAGCCCCACAGCAAAGCCTCTGCTCGCCGTGCAGCTGACCCCTCTCCGGGCTGAGCCAGCAGAGTGTTGGAAGTGGATGGCCAGTCTGGGAGTGGGAGTGGGCGTGTGTGCTGTCAGTGGCCAGAGGGCATCGGGGGCCTGCCATCCAGACCCCTGAGGTCCTCTGTCCACAGCTAATGACCCCAGGCCAACACACTGCCCACATCTGTGCCTGGCGCTGGCCCCATGGTGGAGCCTCCGTGGCACAGCTTTCTGCGTCCCCCTGGTCTCTGCCTCCACTCCTGCGAGTGAGGGGCAGTGGTGCTCCCCACTGATGGCAGCCCCGGGGGGTGTCGCCCTGCAGAGGCTGAGGGGGACAGTTAGGCACTCTGCAGGGTCAGGAGGTGAGCGGTGGGGCTGGGCGCTGGTGACGGGATGGTGGAGACCAGCACTGGGAGAGTGCCGAGTCTCTCAGCCTCACTTCCTTTCTGCTGGGCCTGGTGACGATGAGACTGGCCATGAGCTACATCCTTGCATACCTCGGCCTCCCTCGGCCACTCCTCAAAAGCTTGAGGCAGTGCTGGGGATGGTGGGACCTGGGTTTGATTCTGTTTCTTGGTTTAAGCTGTGTGACTGTAAGTCAGTCATGTGCTCTCTGAGACTCTTATTTTCTTATCTGCAAAACGGGGACATTAAAACACGGCCTGTAGGTTTCTCATGAGAATCAAACGAGGCAGATTAAACGTGGTGCCTGCTGCGCACCAATCACGGAGCACAGGGCCCAGGAGCGGCGTCGGGGTTGGAGGCCGTCGCTGCCCGCCTGCCTGCCCGCCCACCCCTCTAAATCGCAGAGGGCCATCCTCCACGGAAGCCTTCCCTCCCAGAGAGCTGCTGCTGCTAAGCTGTGAGCCCTAAGGACGGGGTTAGGCCTAGCACCCTCTGTGGTCCCAGCACCTGCTGCGGGCAGGGGAGCGGAAGACACGCAGCCAGCAGCTAGCTGCCAGCGACTGATGGACTCTTAAGACTCAAAGCAACTGAAAGGGCTGCCTCGCGTTTCCCCAGCTGCTAGCAGAACCCCCACCCCTCCCACCCCCTCTGAGCCCCCCCCTCCCCCCCCCCGCCCCGAGGCAGCAGGCAGGCTCGTGATAGCAGACAGTTCTTCCTCTCACTGGCTTGGAACCCGCTCCCTGCTGCTGTAACCAGCAGGTATGGCGGGAGGGGCAGGGGCTGGACCCGCGCCACCACGTCTAACCCTCCAAATGCCCTCGCCCCCAGCGAATGGAAGAGAAGACAGAGGCCCAGAGACGCGGAGAAAACGCCCAAGGCCACACAGCTAAGAAGAAGCAAAGCCAGAATTCAAGATGGCGGCGCTGGGCCCCCAGCCCAGGTCTGCCAGGTCCCAAAGGCCCTACTTGCTGCCTGACCCTTACGGTCACTGAGATCACGGCTGCTCCCTCTGCCTGGGCCAGCCCTTCAGCGCCGTGAGGCCGGCAGTGCTGTCCCTGAGTCTTCCGTCCTCCGGGCTGAACCGCGTCACTCTCTTCGTCCATCCTCCTACGACAGGGGGCAGGGCAGAGCAGGGACAGAGCCGCATCTGACGCCACAAGACAAGGGCTCTAGCTCCCGTCCTCCACTTACTGGCTGTGTGGCCTTGGGCCAGGCACTTCACCTCTCTGAGCCTCAGTCTCCTCATCTGTAAAATGGGGACAGTCATTCCTAACTCTCAGGATCGTGGAGGGTCCAACGAGACGGCGCAGGGGAAGCACTCTGGGGGCTCTCAGTGCTGCCCACATTGCCTGTCACCGTCGCCATCACCATGGCTCCCTCTTCCACTCCCCCTGCCCCCAGCCAAGCCCCTCCAACGTGCCCCTGAGCACTAAGGCAACTTAAAGGGTTGAGTCTGGATCATGGCTTCCTGTTTTGCCCTATGCGGGGAGTCTAATATTTTTTTTAATACAACAAGTGCCACAAAGCCAAACTCTCGGCAATTCTTGTGTCAGGGAGAACCCCTCCCAACCTTCAGCTTGTAACACGGGCAGCCTATCACACAAGTCCAGTTTCTCAATGAGAAGTGTACTGTGATATCGACTTGGCTTACAGTGGCAGGCGCAGCCATTCAGAAAGGGGGAGGTGAGACCAGCCGCTGCCCTCCCGCTTAGGGGATGCTCTGAAACCCCTCCCCCCTGGGGAGATGGCCCTTCCCGGGGCAGAGATCCCACCACCCAACCAGCAGCCTATTCAATTCTATCAGCGCAGGCTGTGCAATGACCCCTTCCCCCAGGAGAGGGAGCACTTCCAGGCCTTGGCACAGCAGCCTCATCAGAAGCAACAGAATCCCAGACTGAAATTGTTGCCTGCATTGGCGTCAGAGACTCCTACACCTGGAGGGGCGGCCAGAGGCGCCTGGTCCCTAAGGCCCCTGTGGGGTCGCAGCCCAGGAAGGGGGTGTGGCCAGCACTCACCTTTCACCAGCCTCCAGAGGTAGATGTCCACCTGGTCCGAGGCCTCGTGCTCCAGGGCGAAGCGCTGCAGGCTGTCTGGGCTCGGGGAGATGGCTGTATGGACGAGGACCCGGCCCGGCGTCTTGGGACACCTGCTGAACCTGACGTCGCTGTGGCCAGGGTCTGCCTTGTCCTCTGGGAGAAACAAGTAGCTCATGAGGACTCAGTCTACACCGGCTGCCCCTCTTGACAGTCCATGTGTTCTGAATGACACGATCCGGACTCCATGTGCGCCCAGAGCCTGTGAGTGTGTTACTGTCACACCGGGCGGGGCCCTGCATGCACCGGTCGGTCCTCAAGTGCAGCTGCGAGAGCCCGGAGCCCCCTCCCCCCAGCACCCCTCTGCACCTGGGCAAATCTTGCAGCACTTCCCGGCCACCTTCTCGGGACGACCGCAGGGGTACTCAGTGGGGCAGGTCACACGCTGGCAGTCCTGGTGGCCATCCTGACAGGTGCACAGGATGCAGGGCAGGGGACCGAAGGAGCGGAAGGCCGGGTGCCATACCTCCCCGTGGGAGTAGGTCTTCCCGCCATGCACGCAGGCTGGCAGGGGGAGGAGAGGAGGGCAGGTCTCAGCCCCCTCTCCCGGCACCTGGGACTGGGCCAAGCCCAGCAGGAGCCTCTGGATAGGGAGGGACCTGCCCCGGCCTGGCAGGTCCCTCTCCCTCCACTGCCTTTTACAGTGACCCATCTGTAAAAGGGGAGCTGGGACTCAGTGCCCCCAGCTCCTCTTCCTCCACTGGTCAGGCGGCCCTGCAGCAAGGCTCCTGGGCGCCCCCTCTGCGGCCATGGCTGCCCACCAGCATCAACCCCCCACCCCACCCCCACCGCCCTGCTCGGCTCCCTCCTTCCTCCATCAAACAGTTGCCCTTAGCCCTGCCTAGTATGAAAGCTCCGTCTCCTCACGTCTGTCTCCCGCCCCTCAGTCCCATCTTCCCTGGGCCCCGGCACAGGTGGCCCCGCTGCAGGACTGCCTGTGTCTCGGCTCTCAGTCTCGGGGTCCTGCACACCTGAGCGCCTTCAGTTCCCACGTCCCAGAGTCCACAGGCTCGTGGCCACGTTGGGACTGGGGAACCGCTGAACTGCGCGGGTGGCCATCGGGGCTCCCCCTCCCTGCCTCCCAGATGGCAGCAGAGCCCGGTCCCCACCTTTCTTATGCTTCTCCTTTAGCACAATCTTGACGGTGGTGCTGCCTGCCCCCTTCGGTCGGAAGTGTCGCGGGAGGAAGCCCAGAGGGGGGCTGAGGCCCGTGGTGGGGGCCGGGGTGCCTGGGCCTCTCTTTCTCGCGCCATCCCCCGCACACGGGTCCTGAGACTGTCTCTGCAAGTGGTGGGAAGGCGCAGACCACTGAGTGAGCGCGACAGGCTGGTGGCCGAGCAGCAGGAGGCCTGGCGGTGGACACCTGTGTGACTTCCCAGGGAGGAGGGCACGCCTAGGGACAGGGAGAGCTGGAGGGGGACCTGGAGACCCAGCCTCTTGGGCCTTGGGGCTGGGGGGGGGGCACACAGGATGCTGTGGTGCTAATCTGGGACACGGAACTGATCAGGGCTATTTAAGAGCACACAGTGACGACGACACAGACACGGGGACAGGCATCTGAGGACCCCACAGACAGGAAGACCCAGGGACAAGAGCCCCTCCCCTGTGCTGCAGGTCTCAGCAGGGGCTGGGGGTGGGGCTGGCAGTGACAGCAAATGTGTACGCTGAGGGCAGCCGCCTGGGGCAGGAGCTGCACACAGGTCAGTGTCTGAGGGTCAGGGCAGCCCTAGGCCATGGGAGAGGAACAGGCTGGTTGGTGGCCAAAAGCAGGGCCAGCTTCCTCCCTTGCTGATCCAACGTCAGCACATCTGTCCCGCGGCCACTCCTGCCCTGTTCTCTGATGGCCTGGAGTGAGCCCACGAGGGCTTCCACAGTGGACAGCATCCCAGGCTTTCCAGCGGGCCCAGCGGAATCTCCCAGGTGAAGCTCTCCCAATACTGCAGAGATGAGAAGGAACTGGGAGCTCGAGCCCAGAGTGTGGCCTGCCCTAGTCAGCAGGTGTCTGACCCTTGGCTGCCTCCAGGGAGAGGGCAGGCCTGCAGGGCAGGTGCCACCCCCCACAAGGCATGATGGGCCCACAGCCCTGAGGCAGCCCTGGGAAGGGGAGTCCAGTCTCCAGCCCCCCAGGGTCCAGGGTCGCGCTGTTCCCATGGCAGCAGCACAGAGAACACACAGGGCCTCAGGGGGCCAGCCCGCTCTTCCCTCACATGGGGTGGGACAGCCACAGAGGGGCCAGAGAGAGAGACTGGGACCACGGAGCCTCAGGACCCGGTGCAGGGCCTGTGTCCTTGAGAGGCCGTTCCTGGGGCACCGCGTTCCCGGCAGCAGCTGAATGGATGATAGGCGCAGCCAGACGCAGGCCGCGTGGAGGAGCGTCCAGGAGGCCGTCTTGGGCCTGCGCCTGCCCTGCCTGGTGCATCAGCCAGGACGGGGGCCGGAGGCTAGGGGGAGGGGTGGCTTAGGCAGTAGACCCAGGCGCAGGCGTGAGATGAGGACCTCAAGCATTGCCCCCACCCCCAAGCAGGGAAGCCGGCGCTCACCGCTCCATGGTGGGATAACTCCGCAGAGGCGTCCTCAGCTGGCTGCTCACTCGCCCCATCTGCAGACGCGAGTGGAGGCGGGGTTGGGCTCAGGCCCCTCAGCCTTGCTGGCTGCGACCTTGAGGCCACCCCGTCCCCTACAGCAGGGCCCGTTGCCCTCGGTGGGGACTTATTCCCACTATAGCCTCCCTCCCTTCATCCTAGTTGGTCAACAAAGTCCCTGCCACTGGGGTGCTGCCTCAGTTTCCCCATACCGACCTCATGGTCACTATCAGGACTGAGCCGCTTGGTTGGGCCACAGCATCTTGCTTAGCCCTTAGGTAAAGGTCTCCTCTCTGGGACGCTGAGCCATGCCCCTCAGCGCCTCCATGGATAGTGCGAGGGAGGGCCCAGAATCCCATCGCTGGGGTCTCCACACCCCACCCAGGGCCCTGCCCTCCTGGACCCAGCCCCCTGGGAACCAGCACACAGAAGCCACCAAGCCCTGCGGCTGATGCCCCAAGCAGGCTTCTGTCCCCCTAGGCCTTGCAAGAACCCAAACTTAGCCCATCCACTGGTCATGCCAGGGGCCACCCTCATACCACCGTGGAGTCAGCCAAAAGACCCAAGACTAAGCTGACATCACCAGACTCCTGGTCCAATATGCCTTCCAAAACTCCAACATCGGACGGTGTGACCCATGCAGAGCATTCCCCTGGGCCTGCCTCCTCCAGGAAGCTTTCCTTGACTGCCCCAACCCACAGAGACCAGAACCGCCGCTTCATCCGGCTCAAGCCACGTCTTCCCGTCACCAGCCCATTCCTGGGTTCTGCTTGACAGATGTGCTCTGAGCCCCAGGGAACGCAGTCTGGGACCTGCCTTCCTCAGACCCCCCTCAGGTGCCACTTTGGGTCCTGTCAGCCTCATTTGATGGCAAGGACTCAGTGCACTCGTCACAGGCACTGCCACAGTGCCCTCCACATGGCCGCAGCTCCCAGCCCCTCTCCTCCCGCCTCCCCCCTTCCTGCTGCTCCCAGGGCTACGAGCACCCACGCATGCATGCACAATAGGTGGTGAGGCAGGTGTGAGGGAACTAACTCCCTGGGGTGCACTTTTGATCAGCAGGAGGTAGTGGCCAAATTCTCTCCTCCCTCTCTCCCGCCCCCAGGCTGTTCTGAGAAGCCCAAGGCCACGGAGAGCCAACCAGCAGCACTTGGTGTTGCTTCTCTCTCCTTCCCCGACCCTCCCCCCATTCCTGCTCCCTGTGACTGCAATTAAAAAGAAAGAGTGGCACATCAGCTGCCACCACAGGCCTGGAGGAAGGAACGGTGTACACCATGCTGGCTATCCCCCAGGGCCACCCTGGCTCACATCGCTGGCAGAGCACAGGAGTGGGCACCATCAGTGTTAGGGCCAGACGCACCTGTGCAGGCCTGGCAGCAGGAGTCCGGCAGCGGGAGGGGAGTGGGGCAGCCGGGCTCGGGGCAGGTGGTGAGGCCGCAGTAGATCTGGCCCTCCTGACAAACAGAGCACATGGGCTGGGAAATGAGGTCTGATGAGGACCAGCCTTGGGGGCTAGGCCCATCCCCTTCCCTGGGAGCGAATGGCTAAGGGGTCTCCCCTGAGGCTGGGAGGGGAGGGAGCAGCAGGGGGCCTGCAACACCCCACTCAGGAAGCTCAGGAGGGTGTGGGAGCCCAGAGAAGGGTCGCCTGCACCCCTTCCCTCCAGGCCCCACCATGCTCGCCATGCCGGCTACCGGGACGCCGGCGGGAGGCCTTACGGTGCAGCTGCACACGACACACTGGTTGGGCAGTCGGGCAGGGAACAGCTCGTGGGCACTGAAGATCTCTCCGTGCTGGTACGTGGTCCCGTTGTGCTGGCAGGACTTTGGGGCAGCCCGGAGCCCAGAGGGTGTGTGGGGTTCTGCAGATGGGGAGAGCCAGGCAGAAGAGGAAGGTGAGGTATATGCCGGATGGAGCTGGCCGTGTTTCCGCAGACTTTGCCCCTTAGCCTTCTTGGTGTTTTAACTTAGCTCTGGCCTTGACCCTCCGCAACCAGCTGAGAGGTTGGCACTGACACGCCGTCTGACCGCTTCACTCCCTTCCACCGCCCGTGTCTGAGCTGGGCTGATGCGAGCAAGAGGGGAAGGCTGGAAGCCGCAGTCCCCACGGGCCTGACTCAGTTCATTGTCCACCCAAGCAGCATCCACAGAGCACCTCCTAGTGCCAGGCACTGCTGCGGGTGCTGCGGATACAGCAGGGAACGAAACAGAGTCCCTGTCCTCACCAAGCTGCGTTCCAGTGCAGTCGGCTGGGAGCATCCCTCTGCTGTCCCGGCGCTGCATGCCAACTGTCACTCATGGGCCACGGCCTGCCAGTGAGTCAGTCCCGAGAGAAGCCCCTCCATCATCAGGAAGCCCACCCTCAGTGGCTTCTTCGTGAGCAGGGACACTGCCCTGCAGCGCCACGCTAGGCACCAGAGTGGATGAGCAGTAGGGCTTAGGCCCTGCCATCAAGAATCTCGCAAACCCCTTGGGTGCCTGCAGTGTGAGGTGGGCCAGGGTGGGCACAGGCCCCCCATGTGCTGTATAGGATGGTCCAGGAATACTTTTGAAAGGGGCCCAGGCTATGCTAAGTCTTGCAGACCAGGTATAGCCAAGCAGGCAATGGGACAAGGGAAGGGGAGAGGCAGGGTGATGGGCATCTGAGGGCAGAGGAGGGTCCCAAAGTCAGCAAGGAGGGGTAAGAAGCCCTGGAGCAAGCTTTGGACACACAGGGGAAGCACAATGATGTTGGGAACCCAGAGCCAGGAATCTCTGTGACCCAAGCCAGAGCCAAGGTCAGGTCTCCGCTGGGCTCCCAGTGAGAGAACATGAACCCATCGACACCCGTGCATGTACCAGGGAGCCCCGGCTCCAGCGCCTGGGGCTGAGACCCAAATCCGAGTCCCTCTGTCACCACCTCCTTGATGCATCCTTCCACACTGATTCTTCTTTCAACATCGCCCCGGCTTCTGAGCTGGCCTCCCCTGGCTGCCCCTCAGTGGCCTCTTGGTTAGGCCAGCTGCTCCTCAGACCTTCTCTCTCTCTCTCTCTCTCTCTCTCTCTCTCTCTCTCTCACCTCCCTTCCCTGGAATCCCAGGCTCAGGGGTCTTTGGAAGCTTCAAATCATGGAGTCACAGCTATTCAGTGTAGGGAGGCAGAGACCCTGAATCTGCACTGGAGGGGATCTTGGAAGACAGGCACCCACACTCCTGGTCCCCCCACCCCCAGCCCCAGGGGCTTCCAGCTCTGGCCAGAGACAGGTGCCCAAGCATGGCAGTCCACAGGCCACACACACCCCTGTCCCATCAGCTACTTCACAGCTTCTCCCCACCGCTCCCCGCCCCATTCTGGCTGTGCACATCTATCTACTTAAGACTGACAAGTTGGCTGCTCCTCCAGCCCTGAGCGCGCCTGTTGGGTAGAGACAGCCTCTCTCCTAATAGAGCCTCAATCAGCAGGAGGCCAGCATTGGGCAGGACACCAAGGTCATTGGGCAAGGGAGAGGCTACTTACCAACACACCTGGGACAGCACTGCTGCGGCTCCGTCACAGGCTGGGGGCAGTGGACAGGCGGGCAGTGGAGGCGGTAACAGTTCACATGGGCACTCTGAGGGCAACACAGGGATCAGTCCTGCTTCCCAACAGCCCCCTTGCCTCCCACCTGCACCTGTCCTCTCCCCAAACCCTACCGGGCCTGGGAACTCTGCACTTGCTCTGAGCCTGTGATGAGATTAAAAATGGCAACCACGAGGTGCCTGGTTCCTCCCCTTCCCCCTGCCCGCGAAGGGGGTCTCCCTTGGCTCACCCACTTGTGGCCCTCCCCACCTTGGAGGGGGTGTCCTGTCTACTGATTTGCTCAGGTGTTGCAGAAATACCCGTGAAAGCCCCAAGTGGCTCCAACACTGATCTTGGGGCCTCATGCCAGTGTACCTGGGAGCTTTGTTCTTTTACAGAGCAATGATCAGGACAAGAACGCCACCCATGGTGACCAGGATAGGACAAGACTTAAAAAGCTGGCATAAGGAAGACCTGGGGCCTTGTGACCCCACTCCCTGAGTCTCTAGGAGGTTTGTGGGTGACCCTAGACAATGCCTTTGGAGTGTGGTGCAACAGAGAAGGATAGGCCCACTTTTCTGAGTACAGCCAATGAGAGAGAACAGGGCAGAGTACACAGACGCAGAGCTGAGCGCAAACAGAGAGGGGATGCTCCAGGCACAGTCCATCAGCCCCTCCTAGGCCTTCCCCCAGCCCACTCTGTCCTCTGGGACAAGCTCACCAGCAGCCAGCATCGGGGCGACCCCAGAATTCCAATGCATTGTCAGCACAGGGCCCCGCTACAAGGGAGCACCTGCTACCATGGAGGGACGCCAAGTGGTGAATGAGAGCAAGGGGAGGAAGTCAGAGGCGTCTCTGAGATGAATGGAGCCTGTGTCGTCCGAAACCTTGATGGTGGCAAAGTTTGTTTCCAGCCCACTGGCCCCCACCACCCAGTTCCTTCCCACCCTGCTCTGACCACAGGAGGTCTCCCAGAGGCAGCCTAGTGCCCCACGCCAGGCCTACTGGGGTCACGGCAAGGGCTCACCGAGCTGAGCACATCACAGAGGCTGCAGAATGGGTCTGCGCTCCCCCAGCGCTGTCCAGAGGCCCAGCACCTATGGGTGCTTAGGAAGTGGGGGGGTGAACTGGGCCCTCCTATGCGACACCCAGGGGGAGTGAGGGACAGGGTTGCCTGAAGACAGAATTCTCTCACGCAGGCCATGGAGGAGCTGCGGATGGGGAGCAAGATAGAGATGAGGGTGGGGATGGCCAGGCACACGGTGAAGCCGGGGCAGCCCAGCAGGATCTCAGGAAAGGTCCTGCTATGGTTTATTGAGTGACTAGTAGGCAGGGGGTTTATTTTCTAAATGATGATCTCCCTCTATCTTGTCAACTACCCTGGAGGCGGGTCCCACTCTGCTGAAATGATCTTAGGATCACATGGCACTGGGGGTCAGGGCCCTCACACTACCCTCCAGGCTGAGCTGGGCTCATCATTCAACAACACCTGCTCCGTATGCCTCGGCGCCAGGCCCTGTCCCGAGCACGGCAAGGCGCAGCCTTGGGCACCACCCACCAGGTTTCTGTCCTCAAGAAACTCACATCCTAGCAACGGGAGAGTGACCATAAAACAACAAATGAGTAGAGATGGGCCAATTCCGGATGTTGGACTCCTGACATCCACAAAGCAGGCTGTTGTGACTGCCTTAACAGGAGCCGGCTACTGGGGGAGTCCTCGTAATGGGGGGTCACTTGTGAACAGGGAGGATCAGGTGCAGAGGACCTGGGCAGTGGGCGGTAGGGCCATGGGGCTGCAGCGGAGAGGGCAGGGAGGCGGTGAAGCCGCAGAGCCAGGCAGGAGTCAGCCCAGGCAGGCCACCCGCAGGGAACAGGAGCTGGAGGGTTTGAGGAGCAGAACCACGCGATCCATTCTAGGTTCAGAAAAGATGGCCACTGTGAGGGGCGTGGGTGCAGGGGAGCAGGGAGGCCCATCAGGAAGTCCAGGTGGCTCAGGTGACAGACTGAGGGGATGCAGTCATGACGGCGGGGAAGGGAAGGACTTGGGACACTGCAGATGACGGCAGCAGGCCCTCGGGTTGAGGACGCTGTGTGTGTGGGAACTCCGGGGCGTGAGACGTGGGCCTGGCCAGGCACTGCATCTGGAATGTTCTGTGATGCTTCCTTCCCCTTCTCTGGTGGTATGTCATCCGTTCTTTCTGAAAAGGCTGACCCCAGATGTGCTCGGGAGAAACCAAGGGGGTGAGGAGGTTCCCATAGGTGTCCCAGTCCTGGCTGGGGCCAACACAGTGGAAACTGGGGAACCACAGGCCAAGACCCCAGGAGGAGTGGGCAGGTGCAGGCTGTCCCGCCCCTCTCCACCTCCCAGGTCTCCTCAGGAGCTGGTTTCTGCTCCAACCCCAGACGCTTCTCAAGGCTGCTCTTGGCTGGGTGCAGGGTGAGCTGGGCTGGCTCCAGCTGGACACCAGCTACCCACTTTCCTCATGTACCAGCACCCACACCACAGAAGCTGGGGTTGTCCACACTGCACCCTGGGTGCCTAAGCTAAGGCCAAGGGCTTTTCATGCCTCTTAAGCCACTGCCCCCTCTCTCATCCCTCCCATCTTCCTACCTCTGGACCCACGGAGGTCTCCTTCAGACCACCTGGCTGATTGTACAGGCCCCCGTGAGGGTGCTGGGGGCAGTGGCGTGGGAGGTGGTGACAGAGCCATGGTCTCCGCCCCAGGGAGTCTCAGTAAGCATCGTGCTGGGGACAAGTGAGGATCCAGCTGGACCTGTTCTCAGGCTCAGTCTAGGAGGGGCCATCAGTCACTGATAGCCACAGACAGCTGGACCCTGGAATCCCAGCCAGGAGACAGGGACAGGGAGACACTACCTCCAGGCAGGGTCATTCATCCACGGGGTTGTGGGTCAGTGATGGCAGGGGAACAGGGAATCCAGAGGAAGGAGTGGAGGGAAGAGGCTGGCGGGAGCGCGAGCTGGCAAGGAGGCTGGGATGAGAGACCCAGCAGGTGGGACCTCCCTGGGAGGGGCACGCTGGCCATCAGCTCCTATAAAGGCACCCTGGTAACAGAGTGACCGCTGACAGCACAACTCCACGGGGCCTGGCTCCAGAGTGCCCAGTCGCCCAGGCTCCCCCCTTTCAGGAGTGATTCTCCGGAGGTTTTCCCAGATATACCTGACACAGGTGGCCAGAGGAACCTACCTCAGAGCAGGTGCAGCGCAGGCAGTACATCAGGCCTTGGGGCTCCAGGTAGGGGTGCCAGCTCTCCCCGGGGGAATAGCGCTTCCCGTGGAAAAGGCAGAACATGTCAGGGCCTGGCAAAGCAACCCGTGCTCCGTTAGTCCCGGGGTGCTCCAGTGCTGGGGGGGCGTTCTCCCTGCCCGAGCTCCTGTGGCTCAGCACAAGCCATGTGCCCAGACAAGGGTTTGTTGAATTAAATGAGATGGAAATACAAGGCTCATATTGACTGTCTTCTCTGTATGTAAGTTATGTAGATCATTCACATTACTGGTTTTTAAATTTTTATCTATTTGAGAGGAGAGAGATTGATTTTCTTCCATTGGCTGGTTCACTCCTCAAATGCCTGCAAAAACCAGGGCTGGGCCAGGCTGAAGTCAGCAGCTCAGTCGAGGCCTCCCATGTGGGTGGCAAGGGCCCAGCTGTCTGAGCTGTCACCCGCTGCTGCCCAGGGAGCACATTAGCAGGTAGCTGGAATGAAAAGCAAGCAAGCGGGCAATCACACCCAGGCACTCGGGATGAAGACACAGGCATCCCAAGCAGTGATGGCTTAGCCTTTAGGCCTGCATGAGCAGTATCATTTTGGGGATTAGATCATGTTTGCAAGGTGAGTAGCCTGCTCAGTTCCTGACATCTGGTTGAACACCATTACTAAGACAATTACAGAAACAATCACAAAGACACTGCAAAGTGGACATCCTGATCTTCTGGAATAGCTTTGGGATTGTTACCACAATTACGAGAAAACCAAAGCTCACAGAGACCAAGTTAACTGGAACGCAGGCTGTGAGCTCCTCTGAGCTCACCCCAGCACCTCTGGCTTCTGACCTCAGCCTCTCGGGCCACACTTCCCAGTCCCTGGGCCCACGTGGCCTAAACTGTATGTTGCCTTTCCCTCCTCCTGGCTTTCCAGGGTTGAGCATCCTGGCGACACGGGCTCTCACCCCTCCGGATCCCATGCTCTCTGACATTTGCACCCACCGAATCCTTGGGCAGTCACAGCAGGGCCCAGCAGGGGCGGGGCGCACCTACAATGCACCGGCCCCGGGCCGACAGCTCCAGGGAACAGAAAGGAGCTCCTTGACCATCCCAACCATGAGAAAGTTTTCTTTTTAAGAAGCAGAAATGGGTCTCCCTCTGTCTCCTCCCATTGCTCCCACTCTGCCCTCGTGGGCCTCCAGGGACAAGGACCTGAGAGGTCTGAGGACTGCAGGGACACACCAAGTGCCCCCAGCGTGGAGGAGCTGTCACACAGCAGATCCCGCTCCCTGCAAGCCGGCTGGCCCGTATCAAATGAGCTGTGTTTATCTCTCAGCCTCCACTGGCAGAGGGTGGAACACAGGCCCAGCTGGGGTGCCGGTCAAAGCCAGCCCAACTCTCTAAGGAGTGAATAATGTCTTTCTTCCTTGGTCCCCTCCCCCTTGCAGGGAGGGGCCATTGCGACACCGCCACCACCTTAGGTCTCGGGCTGTTGCTGAAGACAGCCTGTCCTACCTTCTTTGGGGCGGCCCTGAAGCCCTGGCCCCCGTGCCAGTTGGCAGCCCGTCCGGCTCACCGCCTGCTCAGAGCATGAAGCCAGGGAGTCTCAGCCAATTCCTGGGCCAGGAGCCCTCCCCCGCCCCCACCAGGCGACCTGGCAGAGGCTGAGAATGTGGGGGGCCTGGCAGGAGGCCTCTAGTGGCCACAGTCCCCTCCCCACCATGCCCTCCAAGGTGAGAGGCGCAAGGATCCGTGGCACTGCCTGGAGGTGAGTGCCCAAGGCCAAGCCAAAACCAGGCGGGAGGAGGAACTGCCAGGCGGCAGACAGCCTCGGTTCCTGCAGCCCTGGCGCTGTACCTGGCCCTTGTGCACGGTTGGTGGAAGGAGTGCTAGCTCCTTGAGCTGCAAATTCACTGTGTGGCCTTGGGGACTATCCTTTCTGCCCTTCTCTGAGCCTCCCCTTTGCAAACTAAGGGGGAGGGCAAGTTATGATCTCTTCAAAGGCTTCCTACATACATAGGTTACAAAACCAGGACTTTGAGGTGCTGAGAGTCCCCAGTTCTAGCTTGCTAAGGTTCAAGAATGAGAATTCCACATTCCTAAGAGCCTCTATTTCATCGGACCGGAAGCTTCTAGAATTGGATGGTGTTGTGTGTGTGGTTCTAAGATCTGATAATCCCAAGACTCCACGACTCGTGGATGTGTGGATGGCCCCAGCCGTGCTGGCTCCTGGGCTCCAGGGTCCGTGCAGTGAGCCTCCAGCAGCCTCTGGGGCTAGGCTGAGTGACGTGGGGGGTGGGGGGTGACTCCTGTCTCCCTCCCTTTGTCTTCAGTGGCCTGCTCTGCTTCTCCTCCCACTCTGCCACCCCTTGTCCCACCATCCATGTCTCCCTCCATCCCTCAGAAGCCCAGGGTCCTGCTCTCAGGACCTTGGGAAATCAGGTAGACTGGAGTTCTGAACATGGACTTGGCTTTTATGAGCAGTCTGAATTTAGACAAATTACTTAACCCTTTCAGGTCTCTGTTTCCACTTCTGTTAAATAGGTCTAGTAACAATCTCTACCAGTCAAGAATCAAGTTGGATAATGCACATAAAATGCTTAGTGCCTGACACATACTAGATGCTCAATTAGAAGGAAAAAAAAGACCAAAAAACCCAGATCTGGGCACTGACTTGGAGCTTCCTTAATAATCTATTTCTCATGGTATTTCTCTTACTCCCAGAATTCCATGTGGCAGTGCCCAGGGTCCTATTACTGAACACTGTCTTACCCAGTATGGGTACCTCTCCCAGGGCTTACATAGAGGGGCACCAGCCCTCATTCCTGGGGCTCCCTGCACACATCTAGTCCTACTTGCGACCCAGACCAGGTTCCATCAATCCCACCGTGTACCCGCCAAGTCCCCAACCAGGATGTGAGATGCCAGCAGTTCAGACAGCTGGGGGAGAGAACGGGAAGGTGAGAGCAGGCTGGTAAGAGAGAGCGGCAGAGGCTCAGGAAGGCAGGCAGGAGAGCCATGGAAATGCTGTCCACGAGGAGTCACATGGCCAGGTCTGCAGTTAGGATAGTCACTGTCACCACAGGCATGGAGAATTGACACCAAGGGCAGAGAGACCAGAGACAGGCTGATGTGGTCACAACACTGGGCCCAGACCAGTGGCCAGGATCAGGAGAGAAGCAGCACGAACAGCAAAAGTACAGCTCCAAGAAATGCTTCGTGGGCACAGCAGGAAGCCTTTGGAGCAGGCTGGATAGGAGAACCGGCTAGGCTATGGGCGGAGGGTGAAGGCACAGTGGGGAGGTCGGAGAATTGGAGCTTAAACAGGTGAATGTGGTGGCCCTGTTTCCAGCCTCCCTCCTCCTCGCCGACCGTCTCCTTGCTCCACCTCTCATCCCAGGCCCCTCCACACAGGCCGGTTCCCTAGCCTGCAGCACCTGGCCCCATCTCCAGCATTTGACAAACTTCCGGTCCTACAGAAGCCGGAGGCCACGCCCTCCTTCCGGTGCGGCCGGGGCACATCCGGGCCGCTGCCTTCCCTCAGAACTCAGTTCCGACCTCTATCGCGTTCTCGCCACAGTGGGTCGGAAGTACTTGTTAAGTTGGTTTGTCTTCCTCACTAAGCTGTGAGCCTCTCAGAGCAAGAACTGATCTCGCTGGGTTTTGTGCTTGATGTGAGGTGCTAGAGGAGAAGCTGACCGGCGGTCCCGGCTACCAGGCCTCTTCACTGCGCAAGGGCGAGCCAGCTCCCCTTCAGCACGCTAGCCCTGGCCAACCAACAGCAACCGGTCTCTGACCTTCCCTAACCAGCTGCCGACCATCTGAACTCCCAAACCACGTGCCAAGCCAAACAACAACATGTGGCAGAAAGGTCGGCAGCTGGGGCAGCTAGGGGAGGAGCGGTTCCATGATCCTCAGGTGGAAGTCAGAATTTCCAGACTGTTCCCAACCAACGTCATTCCCGAAGTCTGACTTGAAGCTTTCACGCTATGACGAAGGCCGGTAGAGGGGTCAGGTAGGCGTGAGCTGTGTGGAAGGGAATCCATTCAAGAGGAAGCAGAAAAGGCAGCCAGAAAGAAGCTTCTGGGCTGGAGAGAGGCTGGCCAAAGCCCTGAGAATGGAGAGACGTTGAGAATTGTGGCTGGCTTGTCCCCAGCCTGCAGGAACTCAGCAAAACTGGGTGAGCCAGGCTGCTCAGGAATGTGAGAAGGTTTACATCTCTTGCCTCACGCCCACACAGCCTCTCTTCTCCTCTCTCTCTCCCTCTCTATTTATTTATAGTCTCCTCTTCACACAAACAAACTTGCTCTGCTCGGAGACATAAGCTGTGCTCTGGGCCCTGGCACCCAAAGTGGGAGGCCTCTTAAGGGAATCAGTGGCTGAGCTGTGCAACCCAGGCAAAGGGACCGCTCTTCCCTGAACTTGACCCCTTGCAGGCTGGCATGTGGCAGCGGTACAGGAGCACAGAGGGGCCTCAGAGGAGGGGGCTGTCAGACCAGGAAAGGCGACTGTGTCACCTGCTAAGTGGCAGGGCATGGGAGGGATGGCTTCTGTGATGCCTGGGACATCTTGTACTTGGATTTGTAGCATCTCAGAGAGCGAAGATCTCAGAGATGATGTCCAGTCCCCTGGTCTTAAGTAGCTGGAAACTGAGTCCCAGAAAGGGAGCAAGACTTGCCCAAGGTTACTGGCTCCTGCCAGCACCAACTGCAATGTCAGTCTTCACCTGCGAGGATGGTCACAGGGAGGCCCACCCCTAAGGGACAGGACTAGAAGCAATGGCTTTAGCTTGCAAAAAGAAGGATTCAGCTGAGCTATAAGGAGGAACCCCTGAGCATGAGAACAGGTAACAGAAGGTGGCCATGGAACAGCCCTCTTGGGGATAGGGCCCTGCCCACAGGCAGGGGGAAACCTCAAATGATCTCTGCACAGCACCTCCCAGGGGCACCACCCTCACCTGGTCCAAGGGATTCTTCAGGGATCCAAGGGATTCAAGCTCCCTCTCTTGGAGCCCGGCGCCGGGGCCGGCGGCTGGGGGAACTTGAGAGGCCAGTCCTGACAACAGGTGCAACAGCTGGAGCGGCTGCACAGCTGTTGCTCCGGCTCGGGCTCCGGCTCCTACGCCTGCAAGCCAGGGAGTGAGGCAGAGACCTCTACTGGTGGAAGAAGGGAGTTGCAGGCCAGCCCAGTTGGAGAGGCAGACAGGGGCCTGCTGAGCAGGACTTCAGGCCTTCTCCCAGGTGTCCCCCAGTGCCTGATGCGCATCTAGACAGCCGAATTCAACCTAAGCTGGCCACAGGGCAGGGTCTTCCTGATGGATACCCACTGTCACAGGACCCCGAGCACTCCTGTCTGGCAGGGCAGCAGAGCACACACCATTGCCCGACTCACTTGTCCAAAGGTCAGGGTGGTCAGAATCAAGGCCACAGCATCTTTGGATCTTATAGACTTAGAATCACAGCTGTTAAAGTCGACTGCTCCTTGGGGATCATCCATGTGTGTGCACCCACTGCACTGTACAGACACGGGCAACCTGCTCTGCTTGCAGTGGGGATTGGTGGCAGAGGTGGGGCTAGAGCCCATTCCAGGTGTGCCCTCTGCAACACATCACACCAAAGGGAGCCCCCTCCCTGCCTCAGGCTCACTCCTAGGATCTGGGATTCCATCACTATCAATTCCCATAAGTCACAAAACCCTTGAGGCAATGCAGAGGGATCAAGGTTTTCACTTGGCAAATGACTCCCTTTGGGGAGGAAGAGAAAGCGGAAGCAAGCCAGACATGTAACAGGGGCAAGTAGTAAGGGAAAAGCACAAAAGAAAGGCACTGGCAAAGAGAATGCACTGGAGAGGGAGTGAAGTCAGCTCCTCACCCCACAGCGGGAAGGGGCGTTCAGAGCAGCCAACATCACTCGTGTTTGTGGCTTAGCCTGGCACTGGGGTCAGTACCAGTCAGTGGCCAGGTCAGGGACCCAGCATGGGTAAGGGCTCAAGCCTGGGGGTGGAATCGGGGTCCAATCTGTGGTCAGAATTGTAAGATTAGGGCTCAGCCTCTGGCTGGAGTTGAAACTCGGTCTGGATTGGAATTGGGGCTCAAGCTACAGCTGGAAGCAGAGCCTGTAAGAGAACCACCTTGGCCTGAAGAGCCTTGTTCTGTAACTGGGGAGCAGGCAGCCCCCACGTGCCCCGGGGCCTGGCTCCTCCAGAGGCTGGCTCCACACAGACCAGATTTCTCCCTGCTGGCACCACTTTGGAAGGCATCTAAGAAGTCACCAGGAGACTGAAGTCACTGAAAGGAAGACCAGGGCCTTCACAGGAGGCCTTCAGAAAGGATCCTGGCACAGGACTCTTTCTAGATGCAAAGATTTTCCGTGCAAGACAAAATGAGGCTCAGAGAAGGGAAGGGACTTGTCCCAATTCACACGGCCAACAAGGGACACACCGGGGTCCAGGATCCAGGTCTCTGTTCTGTTCTTTAATCAATTTACTGTGTGACCTGTGGCAAGTCACTGCCCTTTCTGGGCTTCAGTTGAACTGCAAAGATCAAGAAATTGATGGCAGAAGTGGAGCAGCTGCAAAGGCGAATCTTCCAGCTCTGACATCTTAGACTGACTTTTAACACTGCCCGCCGAGCATCAGTCCTCCTCACTGTAACTCGGCGAGTCCACCCCAGGTGTGCCCTAAGCAGGGTGTGAAGGGCTGGCAGAATATGAGGCAGAGAGGTACAGCCGGGACATGAGCAGTCCTGCACCTGGGACTGAGTCTAGACCATCTTTCCAAGAGGCATCAGGGCAAGGCCATCTTGGGGAGAGCTTGAGGGCCAAGGACACGGTGCCAAGTGGAAGGGCGGCAGGCATGGAGGACGTCCTGTGCTCAGCCTCTCTTAAGAAACAACAGGCAGGTGTTAGGAGGAAACCCCCCTGGGGTTCCAGGAGGAAGAGGAGACATTCAACACATTGCCTCCTTTCAGCCTCCTAAGAGCCCTTCAGGCTCCGTGTTAGAATCTTCCTGGGGCAGAGAAGGACACTGAGGCTCAGGGCAGTTGTGACTTAACCAAGACTCACACAGCGACAGGGGCCAGAGCCAGGACTTGAACCCACCACTGGGCTCTTTCCACTGCTCTCTCCTACAGTACAGACTCCTCTCAGTCTCATGCTGCTGGCAGGGCACAGCTGATCGGACCGACGTGCAGCCTGCTGGCACAGGACTGAAACAAAACCCAGCAACGCTGGCTCCAGAAAGGTCCGTGCCACACAGAAAGATCTGGAAGGAGGAACTGCGCTGTGCAGCAGAAAGAGCATGGGGGGTCTGGGAGGTGGGGGTCTGCCCTGTGTGGCCCAGCAGCAAGCCCCCCCCCCCCGGCCCCTTTTTGGCTTTTGTTTCTTAGCAGGTGGTTCAGGGTTTGACCTAAGCTCTTTCCTTGTCATTGGGAGCATCTCTGGCGTGGTTTCCCATCCTCGGGGCATTCCGGGAGCCTGGCAGGGGCAGGAAGGGGGCCCGCCAGCCCGCTGAGGGGCAGCAAGGAACCTGAGCTTCAGGGAGATTCCAGGACCTGCTGGAGGTGACATTGCGTCTAAGTGGAGAAGCCTGAGTTAGGGACCCAATCCTTTCTCAGCAGCTACCCTGCACCCATTTGCTCCAATGTAAACTTCGCGACAGCCCTCAGACTTTTACTGCCATGTGACAGATAAGGAAACTGAGGCTCGCACACCCACCTCCCGCCAGCCAGCGGGGGTGCGGTGGGGCTGGGTGCTGTCCAGCCCCAGGGCTCCATCACGCGCCTGCTGCTCCCCAAGTCTCCCATTCTACACATCAGAGTTCCTTCCAGATCCTGCGCAGCAGGGGAAAGCAGAGGCTCCGGGACCAGGGGGTCCTGGCTTCGCATGGCTCCCTCGCTCTAGCAATGCGAGCACGCTCCTTCCCCTTCCTCAGCCCGAGCTTTCTCACCTGAGTGTAATGAGGATCGAAAAGCAGAAAAAAAGAAAAAAGAAAGACACCCAGGACAGCCTCCTTAGCTCTTTCCTTCTTCGCAGAGGCGTCCACAGCCACTCCGCACTCATCACACCCCTTACCTGCAGCCACACGCACCCGGCGCCCTCCTAGGACAGCCCTCGGCCTCCAGCGCCCAGCGTGCTCAAGTCCATTGCTGCAGCCCCCTCAAGTTTCTCCCCTAGGTTCCCCCCGCCCCCTTCCCCGGACTCACCGGGCCGTCCTGGTCGCTCAGAAGTCTCCAACCCTGCCGGCACAGGTGCTGCCTAGACGGCCGTCAGAACGGCCCGGGGGAGTCCCAGGTCCCGGGCTCGCCCGCAGCCCTCCCTGCCCACCCAGCCTCCGCCTCTACTCACGGGCTCGAGCCTGGGAGTCCAGGGGGAACCAGAGCAGCGCGAGTCCCAGCAGGGAGGGCAGCACCCTCACCTCGGGAACCATCCTTCCTGGCCCGGGGTCGGGGCGTCGGCAGACAGCGAGGGGAGACTGCCGAGGCAGAGCAGGGGCGGTGAGAGCACGGTGGAGAGAGCCCCCCGAGCCGGGAGGCAGAGGGGCGCGGAGGCGGAGGACCGTCCGGCCGGAGCGGACGCAGCAGGCGGCTGGAGAAGGTGCGAGGGAGCCGAGGCGGCGGCAGAGCGGCGAGCGCGGGGGTCTGCGGGGCGCGCCGCGCGGGGCTGGCGCCCCCTGCTCCCGGGGCTCGGGGTCGCGCGGCGGGACGGCGGCGGCGCGGCGGCCGCGGGGGAGGCTGAGCGCGGGCCGGCTGTGCACGCCCAGGGCGCCAGGCGCCGCGCTCGGGCGCATTTGTACTTTGCCGCGGGAAGCCGGCAGTCCGGCCTGGCGCTGGCGCGGCGCTGGCGCCTCCTCTTAGGGCACGGCGGACTCGGTGGATTGGCCACCCGAGACGCAGGCCCACTCTGCCCCCTCCTCTCTCGTGCCGGGCTCCCGGACGCACGCTCCAGGCGCGGCGCCGAGGGGAGGCCCGGGGGCTGCGGAGGGGGAAGGGGCCACCGGGCCGTGCGTGGGGCTTAACCCCTGACTCCCCGCGACGCCCCGAGTGCAGAGGGCGGGGCCCGGCACAGCCTGCAGGTGGGATGGGGGGCGGTGCCCGGCTCGCGGTGGGGCAGGGGGCTGCGGGGACCGCGCCAGCCTGGGGCACCGCGCGCTGGGAGCTAGGCATCTGGATGGAATCAGGGCACTTGCCGCGCCTCCTGCGGTTGGTGGGCGAGGCCGCACAGTCTGTCCCCAGCTCCAAAACGGGGGCATTCGCGACGTGCTATCTTTCTCATCTTCCCGCGGTTGTTGCAAAGATGAGATAATGGACATCGAAGCACTCACACAGCACAGAGAAGGGGGCACGATTCCAGGTCGTGGACTGGCCATTGGCCGGCCATGTCTCCCCGCTGTCCGTCGCCCCCTCACGCCCAGGTGAAAGCCAGGCCAGGGAGTCCTTTGCCACCCCCTAGAAGTCTTCCCCTCCTGCTCCTTTGCTCCGCGGGGGGGAGGCTTGCACCTGCCTGGGAGTAATGGCCACCGGTTCTGTGGTGAGAGCTGGTTGTCTTTCCCACCAGAGGACAGGGCCCTGACGCCACCACCTCCCGCCTCCCCGCCCCAGAGCTGGTGCTCCAGACCCTGTGTTCAACAAGTGCTTGAATCAACAGGACGCTGGGAGTGAGAGTTACCATTCTGTCCAGACCAGAACCGCCCAAACTCCGAGAGCAAGAGGGCGGTCATTGTCCCACCCGCTCTGTCCCTAACTTGCTGGGCCCCTTTGGGGACCTCGACTTCCTGCCCAACTTCTCTTGGACAGAGCTCCTGGACACTCCTGTGGGTGTTCAGAGTGGGGGGACATTGGAGGCCTAAGAGGTGAGAAGGGGCTGTCAGCCACATTGTGCTTCGGCAGGGAGTCCAATTTCCAGGCTTAGCCACTCTGCCTGGCTGTCTTTACAGGCATCGGCACCCCATTCCACTGCGGTGCCTCCACCCTCCCAACACCGCCAGAACAGAGCACTCAGAATCCTCCACACGTGATCCACTCCCCACCTTTCAGGTTTAATCACTTCCAGTCAATCCAGCCAGTCTCTCTCCCTTGACTATGCAATATTTATTTTAACAAAAAGTGAGAGATATGTGTGTCATCATGCTTCCCTTTTTGCCTTGGCTTCCAGGGAGCTCAGGTTTAACACAGTGCTTAATTCTGTAAACAGTCACATCCCAAGGGGCTGGGACAGAGCTTCTTTCCTTTCTCCATCTTGGCTTAAGAGGTGGATTAAGATTGCTACTCCCTGGGGCCGACATTGTGGCATAGCAGGTTAAGTCCCAGCCTCAGACACAATTATCCCTTATGAGTGCCCATTCGAGTCCCAGGTGCTCCACTTCCTGTCCAGCTCCCTGCTAATGTGGCCTGGGAAAGCAGCAGAAGATGGCCCATGTATTTGGGCCCCCTGCAGTGCAAGGCTGTCCTCATTGCTTACTGGAACCTTCCCCACAGCCTTGTAACAGATGTGCCCTGGGTCGGGCTGCCCCAGTCTGTTCTCACACCTGTCACGGAACCATGCCAGTCATTTCTACTGACAAATCTGATCAAATCACTTCTCCACTCAGAACCCTTTATTGCCTGTCCTATCGCTTACAGATTAAAACCCAGAAATTTCAGCATTGGCTTCAGGAGCATGCACACATTGCCTGCTGTCTACCCTGGCCACCTACCCTCCGCCAGGGCCAGCTGCTAGCCTCTTTAGGGTGGCTAGGCGAGCTCCCACTTCCTGATCTTTCTTGTGTTTCACCCTGCTCGGGCCACCTTTCTCCTCCTCCACTCCTTTTGTCTTTTGAGAGTTCTACGGAGATTTGAGGCAGGGAACCCTTTTGCTATCCTTCCACCTGTCCAGCCCTGGGCCCTGCAGCCCTCCCGACCCGGGGCTCTGCCTACAGAGGACCTGAGCTTTTTCTTTGGCCCTGCCTGCTGCTGCACATGCTCTCTCTCTGCCTGGAATGCTCTCCTGTGCCTGGCAAGCCCGCTGATCTTCCAGGGGTCAAGGGAATCACTCCCTCCTTGCGTCATGTAACAGGGATTCAGGGCCAGCTCTGGATCGGGCACTGCACTGGGTGCTGGGGACACAGTGACAAATAAGACAAACACTGCTGCTTCGGCCCAGGCTTTCTCTGATGGTCTCCGAGAGTGCCAGCCGCACACTCCTGTGTATGTTTCTTGTCTCTCTTGATCTTCCAATGAAGCCACCAGGATGCAATCATGGGGCTGCACTCAATGGCTTCTGAAAGGCCCCTCTACACAGTAGGGAGATTGAGGCTGCACATTCTCCATGCTCATGAAATTTCTCTCTTTTTTAAAAAAGGATTTATTTATTTATTTGCAAGGCAGAATTACAGAGAGGTGTGGTGGGGGGAGGGGAGAGAGAGAGAGAGAGAAAGAAAGAGAGAGTCAGTCTTCCATCTGCTGGTTCACTCTCCAAGCAGTCGAAAGGCCAGAGCTGGGCCGATCTGAAGCCAGGAGCCAGGACCTGGGCCATCTTCTACTGCTTTCCCAGGCCATAGCAGAGAGCTGGGTCAGAAGTGGAGCAGCCGGGTCTCAAACTGGCTTCCATATGGGATGCTGGCACTGTGGGCGGTGGCCTCACCTGCTACACCACAGCACCAGCCTGAGGGCCGCTCAGACCATACCCAAACCCTGGCACCAGGGTAGCCTTGTCCGTCTCTCTCTTATGGCCCTTAGCACATTGTATTACCCATTGGGTTGGCGTCACCTGCTCTCCTTGAGGGGACGCACAACTGTTTGTCTACTGTCAGCACGCAGCTTTGTCCATAAGGCTAAAAGAAAGCTTGGTGAATAATATCTTCATTCCTTCAAGCACTCCTCCTTTGACATGTTAAAAACAAATCAAAGGTAATTAATTAATTAATCTGACAGCTCCTTTAAATAAAGATGTTCCTCCTATTGTGTATAAGTTGGACCCGTCTTTAAAGTGTCAGTTGTCACCCCTGTTCAGGACATGACTGAGTAAAGACAGTGACTGCTGTCCCTGGGAGCCATGCAGGACCCCACAGACCCCAAACTGCAGATGCACAAAGCCACTACATAAGAAGGAGTAGGGGTAGGCCTGGGCATAGCGGTCAAGTGGCTATTCGGGACGACCTTATTCCCTGTGGGAGTGCCTGGAACCAGCTCCAGCTCCAGCTCCTCTGCTCCCTGTTCGGCTTCCTGTGAATGTGCATCCTGGGAGGTAGCAGATGTGGCTCAAAGACAGGGTCCACACCATCCACGTGGAAGGAGCAGATTGAGTTCTGGGCTCCTGGCTTCAGCTTCCCAGGAGCTCCTTCTGGGTCTCCCATGCTGGTACAGGGGCCCTCCTCTGCTGCTTTTCCCAGGCCATTAGCAGGGAGCTGGAGGGGAAGTGGAACAGCTGGGACACAAACTGGCACCCATATGAGATGCCAGGATTGCAAGTGGCAGCTTTATCCACTACACCACCATGCTAGCCCCAAGTTAATTAATTAATTAATTAATTTTTGACAGGCAGAGTGGACAGTGAGAGAGAGAGACAGAGAGAAAGGTCTTCCTTTTCCATTGGTTCACCCTCCAATGGCCGCTGCGGCTGGCGTGCTGCAGCCGGTGCACCGCGCTGATCCGAAGCCAGGAGCCAGGTGCTTCTCCTGGTCTTCCATGCGGGTGCAGGGCCCAATGACTTCCATCATCCACTGCCGGTGACGCAGGCGGAGGATTAGCCTATTGAGCCGTGGCGCCGGCCTAATTTTTTTTTTTTTAAGATTTATTTATTTATTTGAAAGTCAGAGATACACACAGAGAGAAGGAGAGGCAAAGAGAGAGAGGTCTTCCATCCACTGGTTCACTCCCCCAATTAGCCATAATGGCCAGAGCTGGGTTGATCTGAAGCCAGGAGTCAGAAGCTTCTTCTGGGTCTCCCACATGGGTGCAGGGGTCCAAGGATTTGGGCCATCTTCTACTGCTTTCCCAGGCCATAGTAGAGAGCTGGATCGGAAGTGGAGCAGCCGGGACTCGAACCAGCGGCAGTACTGCATATGGGATGCAGGCAGTAGCCCTACTCTCTATGCCACAGTGCGAGCCCCGATTTGTTTTTAAAATGAAAAATCCTCATCTTCAACCAAGTTAGTTACTCATTTATATAGCAGTTATTTATACAAGACCTACCATTATTTTAAAACATGTTTGTTTTTTGGATCTCCAGATACTATGCACAGAATGGCATTAGAATGGATGGTGCCTGCTGCATTGTGGGTGCTTGGGAAATACACGTGGGAATGACTGGACGGGCCTTCTGAAAGGGAGGCTCACTTGCATTTGTTTGTGTGGCCTTTTCCGTGGCTTTGTGGCTATTCCTCATTGGTTTTGCTCCTCCGGGGCCTTCTCTTCCGGGACCACCTGTCCACAATGGCTGTGATGGAGAAGTTTCTGGAAAACAGAATGGGGAAGTGCACAGGCCCAATTCCAAAGAGCTGAGTGGGGACAGTGTGGCTACGATGGAAGCAGTTGGATGGGCTCGACCTTCCTCCGGGTCCTAAGCTCTGCCCCCAGCCAGAAGTATCACCCATAAACCACCGGTGGAGGGGCAGAGCTTCTGCTCCCCCACCTCCACTCCCAGGGGGACTTCAGAAAAGCGGTTCATCCTTGGACACTTTTTCCCATGGGCCTGTGAACTGTAGCTTGGGTCACACAGCCAGCCGGTGGCAGATGCCATATCCACTCACCACCAGAGTTGTCTTTGTAAAATGTAAAGTGTATGAGTCACTTCTGAGCCTTTACCATCCAATGTGTGACCCTATGCAGGGCGGCCCCTCTGCCCCGTGCATGCACACCGCTCCCCTGTGCTCCCACTCCCCCACACGCTGGCCTTCGCTGTGTCTCTGGGACTCACCAAGCTCCCGTCCCTCGCAGGGGCTCTGTCCTGGCTACTGTTCTTGCAAGGACTGTGCTTCCCACCGCTGATGCTTCATGCGGCTCAAGAGGCTCCCCTTGCGCAGCCCATCCAACCCTGCTGAATCTGCACTGATTTCCTTTCGTACTGCCTTGTGTGACTTCCTCTGGACCACTCTTCATCACCTGAAGGGCATGTCCTTGCTTGCACCTTATCTCTCTCCCCCATGGGCAGGAACACTCTGTGATGGCCTGGACCTTGATTCCGGATCGCAGCTCCATCCCTG